AGGTGTAGATTAGTATTAAATTATTATAAGATATGAGAGGTTTAAAATAAGAAGGTAAATTGTTATTAAGAGTATAGTACAAATATTAGAGTCTATATATCTTTACTATATGTTAGTTGTTTTATGTAATACTAGGACGTATTGGAAAGTATCATACAGTAGTATAATTTCACAAAGTTATAAGGTTGTAGCTCTTGTATTTGTTGAGATATCACATGTACAAGTTTACTACAACTCTACTTTCTTTAGACATACATTTCAAGTACTTGTATTTCTAGTTCTACAACACTCTACCCTATGACTAAGTATTTATTATAATTATACTACCATATTCAGTATTTGGATAAAGTTTTATTGAGATTACTTGAGTACTTACTAAGTTATTAATGAAACATGCTTGAAATACTTATATTTTACTAAGTTTTCAAGATATTTCTTATATAATAATTTATAGAAGTATGTTCAGACTTTGAAACTTTATAGAAATACTATTTTCAAACATATATACAAGATAGAGCCATTAATTTTGTGAGTGGTTAGGAAGAATGTGTCAGTACTATAGAGACTAAAAGTATTTTACTAGTTTTATATGTCTCATCTTATGAACACAACTTAGTACTAACACATTCTTCCTAACCACTGAAGAGTTCTGATTTTAGTTACTATCAGATCTTCTTGATTTTATTAATTCTTTGGATTACATAATCACTTTCTTCATGTAGTTAGTTCTTTCCTATTTGGAATAGACAGGGGAGAGTTTTGACTAGAGCCCACAATGACACTAGAGGGAACAAGCCCACCAAAACCTTGCCTCTCATTTTGGAGCCTACTGTAAGGGGTAGTGCCTCTGTTCTAAGGTGTCTGGGTTGATTTTGTCTTGATCTTGGCCTCAAGGGCCTTGCCTAGCTTGTTTTGAATTGAACTGACTGTTTTGATGTACAAGAAGCACAATAACATGGCTGCTGAGAAGAGGATCAAGAGAAGCACCATACTTTGACAGTAGCAAGCTTGAGGAACTTCTGCAGTTCTTTGAAGACATTAAGATGTTAGCTGCTGACTTCCAGAAGGACACTGAGTGGATGTGCAAGCAAGTGACATACTATACAGTAACAAGCTGTAGCAGTTTGTAGGCTACTATGCCTGAGTTGAAGAAGAAAGGAGCACACAATTGGAGCATTGTGAAAGAGGAGATCAGAAAGCTCTATCCAGAGCTGATTGATGGTCAACACTACACAAGAGCTAATATCATACAACTAGTTAATGTGCAGAGTGAGAAGGAAATGATGGTGCAGACAGAGTTTGGCCACTACTACTGCAAGTTCCAGGTGCAAGCAGAGTACTTGAAGGAGCAAGGGAAGATGTTAGTACACAAGTTAGACTGTGAGTTCTGGAGAGGGATCAGAGGGATGCTGAGGACAAACCTGATACAATGACTAGAGATTCTCTATGTGGACAAGGATGCAAGCAAGCTGTTCAAATTTGCTAATGTAGTCAGGCTAGCAGACCATGTTCTTCTAGCAGGGCAGACAGAGGCAGGCCAAGACCAGACAGTAATGTTGCCAAAGGAGAAGCCAGAGAAAGAAGCAGGAGACAAGTATGCAAAGATTGTGAGGAAGCTTAATGAGTTACAAGCCCAGGTCAACAAAGCAAGCAAGTCCAGGAAGATGCTAATGAATCAAGCATGCAAAACTGACCAATCTACTGATTCTGTGAAATCCGACCTGAAGCACAAGAGGACCTACAACTTTTGTGGAAAGTAAGGACATTTTGTACATGACTGTAGGACTGTGAGTGAGTACACTCAGAGGGGGAAGTGTATGAGGTTAGGGTAGAAGATTGTGTTAATGAGTAGGGCATTTGTGCCAGCCAGTATAGAGGGAGCAATGTTGAAGGAGTGTATAGACTGATACTACAAAGACAAGCCTGTGTTCACAGTAGGCACAATCAATGAAGCAAAAGATAGGTTGAATGTAAGTGAGGGAGAAAAGTATGAAGCTGTTCTTGGAGTGGATTTGGATGTAGAGGTGACAAGGTTGGAGGAACACTTGAGGGATGTGAAGAGACAAAGAGAGGAGGCAAGGACCATAAAGGCTAACATGAAGCTAGTCAAAGTCAGACTGAAGCAAAGTGCTGAGTTGAGCAAGATCATCAAGCAGGTCTTAGACTGGATGATAGACAGTGTTGTCACATTGATACACTGTGAGTTGTTTGCAATAGCTCCAGAGCTTGAGTGCCAGTATGCAGCTAAGCTTATGAGGATGACTCAGATGTGTGACAAAATGCCAAACAAGGCCAGAAGTGGACCTGCAAAGGTAGAGGAGGAAGAGACAAGTGAGGAAGCAAGGACTGACAGTAGAGAAGATTAGCACACAGGTACAAGTATTGTATACAAGGACAACAAAGCACAGGCAAGCCTAGTAGCAGAGCTGAGAACAAGCAGATTGTGTAGGAAAGTAGTAGATTATGTCAGATTGAGTCAGATTCGAGCTAGAGAATGAGAACAAGAGTGGAGCAGAGGAGCAAGTGTGGCAAACAAGGCTGGAAGTGTACCAGCAAGGATGAGGGAGAATAGTGTAATGGATGAGCAGTAGAGGCTGTTGTGAAGGGTAGTAGCAAGCCAGATGAACAAGGTCAGAAGTGTATCTGCAAGGATCAAGTGCTGAGACAATGAGAATCAGTCAAGCCTAGTGAGAATACCAAGCACAAGCAGATTATGTAGGAGGATGTCAGAAGCTGTTGGATCAGAGTAGTGTTGAGTGAGGGAGTGTTGGATAGGCACTCTAGTCAGTAACAACAAGGCCAGAAGTGTACCAGTCAGGCTAGCAACAGTAAAGCTGAACAATGAATTGGAGACTGAGAGCTTACTGGACCAGGGAGCTGTTATGAATGTGATGTGTAAAGACGTTTGGAAACACTTGGGAGTACTAAAGGAGTGAGTACAGACAAACCTCAGGCTAGCAAATGTAGGATCAATTGCAATCAAAGGTGTCATTCTAAGACTCAAGGTGTCAGTAGGTGGAATATTAATAGTGATACTGGTTCATGTAGTGAAGGACACAATGTTCAACATGATAATCAGGAGGCTGTTCTTTGTGTTAACTGAGTGTGAGATGAAGGATTTCAAGGACAGTAATCAGATTTTGACCTTGACAGACCTAGCAGATCAGAACCAGAAGTGTCAGGTTGAGACCCAAGCAGCTGTTGGATGAAACCCACTACTCACTACTACTACCATCTATGTTGGAGTTGGAGAGGATTGGTCTGGCAAGCCTTTGGCCTTAGTACAGGTTACATTCTCTTTACTCTAACATTCCCTTATACTCCTTTCTTTTATGGACACTCATTCTTACTTGAGACTCACACTCTTTGTTTCTTTATCTTACTTTGATTAATACCTTTTATCCTTACCCACACTCCTTATACTTACCCTTCATTATTGCTTCTTAAAGCAAGTGACTAAGGACAGTCACTATTTAAAGCTTGGGGAGGTGAAGAGTTCTGATTTTAGTTACTATCAGATCTTCTTGATTTTATTAATTCTTTGGATTACATAATCACTTTCTTCATGTAGTT